TTTGGTAGTTGGTGGGTGGTGATGGTGGTGGGATGTCTTCGGTTTGGTTTTCCATTCTAAACAGTGAGAAACAGGGTTTATATTGGTGTCTGTTTGTCGCTGACTAACGGTATTACGGTCAGCTGTGTAAGAGTGAGGGTTAGTATGTGTGTAAGGTGACAAACAGTTGCCTTTCGTGAGGTGTGCAAGCGCAGTTATATCTCACGGAAGGGTTTTAGTGGGCAAGAGGGCAATGATTGCGGTAGTGCTGTGAAAAAAAGGGTTTTTTTATATATGTTTTATTACAAAATCCTATAAAAAAGACAAAGAACAAGTTAAAAGCTGATGAGGGGCGTGGTAAAAAAAAAAAGATTATATGGAGGTGTGCCGGGCAAAACGTTTTCGACGGTAGTCTTCTTCAGTGACCGGCGAGTTGGGTTAGGGGGGTATGCTATCCGCAAAATAACTATTTTGTAAACAGTAACAGCTCTTATCAACAACCCCACCCACATATTTTCCGACAGCAACAACCTCTTAGGAGTAATAATCAACAAATAAAATATAATATGACAAGACAGAATTACATGAGAGACAGAGGTCGTACAGCAAATGAAAATACAGAAAAAAGACCGATTCCACTGAATAGTGTTCAACTGCCGCTACAAGACATGATGTTAGGACATGAGATGATAGCACAACAATTCCATCATGATCAGCAGCAGAGAAACGCGTCCAATCTAAAAAAAGACACACCAAAGTATAAAACCAAAAAAGAAGCTAGACTACCAGCGTACATACAAGAAAAGAAATTAACTGAAGCAAGAATTCCCATCTGCGCAGAAATAGAAGACGACTATATGTATATAGAATTAGTAAGAAGTTTTGATTACGCGAAAAAACCCGAAGAAAAAAAGCGTCTTTGGGAAACATATTTAAATTTCGCTAATCAAACGGAGTCCTTATGGCCGAGAGAAATTAGAAGATTCAGAAATCTAAAAAGTCAGAAAGATAAAAAGACATATATCCAACAGCAAAAAGAAAAATTCCTGAACCAGGAAGCTGAATGGAACGAATATGCATCTGAATTAATAAAAAATGTAGTAACATTACTAAATAAAGTCGCCCCTAGCGACAAAGTAGAATACGGGAAAGAAGAACGTAAATTGCATGACAGGTTAACAAGAGAGCTGTATGACTACTGTAAAGAAGGGATCTACACGAACGTAGAAGCAGTTGATAGAAAAATAGAGAAATTAGAAGAAGACAGCAAGAATCGGAATAAATACCGTGAGGTGATAGGAGATGAGAGCAACGACACGCTCAAAAAAGCTATCAGTGGAATTAAAGAATTAAAAAAGAAAGAAATTAATCTTCAGGAACAGGTACATAAACTCGAAACAAATATCGGGCACAAGATGCCGCCAGTTTCGTTTTATAAGTTGAACATGAAACTCAAAGTACCAGCGACTTTATCAACCCATGATGAGTTGGTAAAGACATGGAATAGTATCTTGGCTAAAGCTAAATTAGAACTGACAGAAGTTATACTAAGAGCTAGAGAAGAAGAATTAACATCCGTCAGAGAAAACCTAGAGATACAAAATACAGTTTTCGCATCCAAACACCCAGGCAACGCAGCCATACTAGAAGAAATTTTTGCTAGCATGAAACGAGAAAGTATCAAAAAAATGCAAAAACGAGACCGTTTTTTAGAAAACAAAGCGGAAAGAATGACAGAAAAATAGAAAAGAGAAAAATATCAACATCAAAAAATTTTTCAGGAATTCAGCTACCACCACAAGCAAATAACATATTCTTAAAATTAAGACCAGAAGAAAAACAACTGTTAGATAAAGGACCTAAGTACGTAGTATTAGATCCCAAGACAGCTTTTAAAAGATTAGAAGAGGAATGTGATATAATGAACGAAACTTTGACAGTAAAGATTAATAAAAAAGCAGGAAGAATAGAAAATATAAAACATGAAAAAGTAGACGAGTTCACTAGAGAAATTTATGAAGAGCTAAAAGAAGGTTTAACGAGAGAAAAACCAAACATTAGGATGGCTGCAAGCCATCAAAAAGTCCACACCACTAGACATGCATAACGGCGTTCTGATGCACTTTACTTATACTCCATTCACCGAGAAGTTCAGCAGACGATTTCACCACTTATACCATACCCATTTCAGGAATACGCCACTAGAACGCGCACTAGAAAAAACACTTATAATTAAAGAACAACAACTACAATAATAATTTATTTTTCAATTTTTCAAAAAAACACTAGTAAACTCGTCAAAATTGAAGCATTCCTCGAAGTATCCGACATAGTTCTTGAAGCCTCTTGCCTTAATTAGTTTTTTTGCCCTTTCAAACATTATTTTCGATAATAGCAGTTTTTTTTCCCATGAGAACATCTTTTTACCAATGCGTCCATATAAGATGCTCTTCATTTCGCTAAAGAAAAAATGGAAAGGTTACGTTGTGACCTCTTATTGGGTTCTAAGGAATCTTTTCTGCTAGTTTTCTGCAGAGCTTTTACTCTGTACTTTTGTTTTTTATTTATTTATTTTATTTTTATTTTTCTTACCTTTCAATGAATGTAAATGATATTTAGGTAAACGGCGACGGAGATCCCAAATACAACCCGTAACTACTAAAAGGAATAACCAAAGCTATCGTTTTAGTTTCGCAGAACGCTTGCTGTAACTTTTGGAACTCATTACGTCTTTTCATTTGAGTCATCGGGCTGTTAGAAGGAGACATTCCTTTTTTTCCTTTTCTCTCACCACATTCATGCTTTACACGTGTTGGAATCTCACATGACCAGCAGACAGACCTATGCTATCTCGTGTCACGATCATATATCAAAAGTTTTTGGATGCTGCGCGAACATGCACTGCCTTTGCACGACGTAGATCTCCAACGCTGGGCACTGAAAGCAGCTAGAGATGTCCCCTTGGAAGATTTCAATGCTTCGCATGGTTGGCTCTATAACTTCAAAGTTAAATATCACATTGTATCACGCAGAATAACGAATGTTGTCACTCGTCACGAAATCGAGAACACCGGCGAAATTCTTAGAACGGAGAATCATTTTCGTGACAATTTCTTCAAGTCTTCGTCGCATTACAGTGCCAAACAGGTCTTGAACACAGATCAAATGTACTCGAAAAGAACTCTAACGATAGAAGGTGAGAAGAAGGTGTTCGGTAGTGTTCGATCAAAAAATGCCACAACACATAGTTACACACTGCAGCTAACCATCTCTCTTGACGGCCAGTTGGTGGGACCAATGTATTTATGCTTACAAGAACCAAAAGGTCGAATGGGCGAGTTGATCAAAAGAGATCTTTTTGAACCGAAGAATGTCATCATAGCCTGTTCCAGCAGTGGCAAATTAACCTCTTCTCTCGTTCGCCACTGGCGGGGCAACTGCTTGCTGCCTTTCGTTGGTAATCACTGTTTGTTGCTGTCGGACAGTTGGCCTGGCCAAGGCGCCGAAGAGTTGTACAAGAAAGAAGAATGTGCTGGTAAGGAAATACAGCGTCTGGCGATTCCACCGAAAACCATGTCTGATCTGCAACCATTGGACTGCCACACCAACCGTCAGATCAAAAACTTCATTAAGAAGTGTTATCAACGTGTGGCTCTGGATGAACTCGATATTGATCTCTGTCAGCGAAATAACATCATCAAGCTCACGTCTCTTGTTCACAATCAGCTGAGTGCACCAGTCTTCAAACCGATGATCCAATATTCCTGGTACGCCGCCGGGCTGCTTCAAACGAATCCAGCACCATTTTTAAGTCTACTTGAAGTCTGTTTCCCTACCCCTGTCTCGCACGAAGAGTGTAAGGAAACCAAATGTGGCGAGAGTATGTTTATTCACTGCTCTATTTGCTCCAAGAAACTCTGTTTCGATCATTTCTTCGTCGCGTACCACTTCCATGGATGAACAGGACAGTGGCGGCTGACGATTTTTGACATGCTCGGCTGTTTGTAAGAAACGGAAGAAGGCATAATTTTTCGAATAAAGGATATGAAAATAAACAAAAAGTGTTTAAGAGCACAGAAGCACATTTAAAATTCAAGAAGTGTCTAAACGTAAAGAAGGGGGTAAGAGGGAGATGAAGCGAAGAGGAAGGAGTGCGGAATCGAGGGAAAAAAGCGACTTTCAGTCAAGAGGATGAAGAACTCAATGAGTGTAATGTTTTCCTGTAAGAGAAGTTTTGTCCTCTAAAAACATTTCAAAACCCTTACCAAAATTTAGTTTTTCAAAATTTCAAAATTTAGAGATTAGGTCTTTTTAGTTAGAGTCTTGATGGGTTTAGGTATTCTGATAAAAAGAACATGAAACGCGTCGGCGACATTAACTCTGCATTTATATCAAGTCTTATTTTTAAGCACATTATTGAGAGAAGATTTAACTTCGATTGAGATCGATTACTGAAAAGCAAAAGTTGAGAACAGAAGATTGAACTTGCTCTTTCGTCAAGAGATAGATCCGTTTATTTTTCAATTGATTCACCGTCATCTGCACGCACATCCTCAGGACACAGTCAAGGGAAAGACGGAAAAGAAAGGACAGAAAGATAAAAATGGTACAGATGATGGAAAGAGATGAGAAGACCAGGTTGAACATAGAGATCTGCAGGACAATCCCAAAAATTCCTCGTGACGGGACAGTCGGGATTCGAGACACGAAAAAGTTTGACCTCCAGTTGAACATCATGTATATAATAAACTCAACAAGGATCCTTACACATATTAAGCCAGTTTTCTAACGTCGTCTTATTTTGAAAAATTATTTGGTGGATACCATTCTGATTTAGGATCATCCTAATAGTCACAATCACCATTATAGAGACCATTCTTCTGTCTATCTCGTGTACCGGCGGGAATTTCGCTTGCATCTGATTCCTGGATTCGAATGTTACATGGATGCCATTCGGCATTCTTTATGTATGGTCCACCAGAGATTACAAGGATCTTATGATCACCACCACAATATATTCCTCGGATACAATCAATGTTCCGCCAATAACTGGTTCTGTAATCCAAGGCATAGCAGCCCCAAAACTAGCAGCACCAGTCAAACCAAGACCAGCAGCTAAACTTAATCCTCCAGTAGCTGTTCCCAAAACAATTGGAATAGCAATGCACGATGCTTGTGTTGCACATTGTATCTTCGTTATATCATTTGTTCCTATCGCTATAAAACAATCTGTTGTGTAGAAGACTGAACCAGGATAGATTGTGAAAGCTTCCCGTTGCAGAAATGATGTACGGCTCCCATACTGAGATAAATGTTCATGTCATACTTTGTTGAGTTATATACAGTAACACCTGCGTTTCCCATCGACAAGAAAAGATTTGTAGACAACAATAGACAGAGAAGGGTTTGTATTAGTTGTGATCCAAAAATCACTTTTCCATCATGTAACGTTAATGAGAACGAATTTTAAACAGTCTAATCCGAATTACTTCAGGAGCTTAGAATCGTTGATGTTTCTTTTTCAAATCCTTAGATTAATTTGCCATCCGATGAGTGCCCCGAGAAAGGAGAAAACTATAACGCTTCGATCTTAAGCAGAACAATCGCACTTTGACGATAAAGAATGATAGAGAAATATCTTGACAAATTAAGTAATAACAACACGACCATAAATGCAAGAGAGAGCTGATCATGTTCACTATGTCGTATTTGCTGAAATACCCTCGGATGTTTTCAACTGCTTCGTATCGAACAGATCTATATCCACATTATTGATAGAAGATTTAACTTCGATTGAGATCGATTACTGAAAAGCAAAAGTTGAGAATAGAAGATTGAACTTGTTCTTTCGTCAAGAGACAGGATCCGTTTACTTTTCAATTGATTCATCGGTTGGGCGCCATGAGACTTGTCAGCATCTCATCCATACGTGGATATTTTAATCTGAGTCACTAAAATAAAATAAAACAGTCAAATTTCTTTTACCCTTTCGTCGTTCTAGTTTAGTCCATCACAAAAGAAGGTTAAACGATAGAAAAAGAAAAAGAAATCGTCACATTACAGTTTTAACATCTACTGTGCACACTACCATGTAATAGGAAATTTGTTTTGCTGTATATATATATTTTATAATTTTATTTTATTAACTTTATGTTTTTATTGAAGAAGATTGCACATGGCTATCGAAACGTCTGTTGATTATAAATAAATAAATAAAAAACTACGAAGATGAAGTATATTTTTCAAGAAATATTAGCAATACAATTTATCGAACTTCGTATAATAATAAACAGACCCTATTCTACTTTACAATGGCGGAAACCGTTTTCCGATATCTACTTTCGTTGTTGAGTTATAACATTTTTAATTGAAAACACTCCACATTGGGGACTATATCAGATAGAGAACCTACAACAGGTTCGGATGTGCCTCTATCCAACCATAATACAATAGTTCGGTTTCAAAGGGGACCAGATTTGAGGTCCTATCCGGCGAGGTCCTTTGAGGCTGAAGTTTGAGGTTGTAGATACATAAGTGGAATTGATTAGCATGTCTTATTTTGGTCTATGTTTTGTTTTGGTTTTTCTCTCATGTTCCATGCTAGGTTTCCTACTTTCCTACGGCACTCGTTGTACTTCGTCTGTTATTCAAATGTTATGACATTAATTAGTCAAAAGGTCTTTG